ATTTCCTTTGCCTCCTGAGGAAATAGAGTCATTGTTGTGCTTTCTTGACCGTCACGTGGGTGCATCAGGACAGATTGTTGGTGATCATCACTCCCAGGAACTTGACGCTCTTGACCATCTCCACCTCAGCACCATTGATTTATATCAGGGTGTGCCCTCCACTCCAGTCTCCTAAAACCAATGACCAGCTCCTTTGTTTTGCTGACATTGATGGAAAAATTGTTGTCTTCACACCATGCCGCTAAGCACTCAATCTTATCCCTGTGTTCTGTCTTGTCATTGTTTGAAATCTGACCTACAACGGTGGTGTCATCAGCAATCTTATAAATTGATTTGGGGCAGAATTTGGTCACACAGTCATGAGTGTATGAGGGGTATAGTATGGGGCTGAGTACAGCCTTGCAGGCACCGCTGTTGAGGATTATGATGGAGGAGATGTTGTCACCTATTTTTACTGATTGAGGTTTATGGGTCAGGAAGTCGAGAATTCAGTTACAGAGTGGGGAGCTGAGACCCAGGTCTTCGAGTTTAGAGATGAGTTTGTTTGGAATTATGGTATTGAATGTGGAGCTGTAGTCAATAAGCAGGAGCCTGACATAGGTATCCTTGTTATCCAGATGTTCCAGGGATGAGTGTAGGGCCAGGGAGTTGGCATCTGCCATGGACTTGTTACACTGATAGGCGAATTGTATAGGATCAAGGCAATCAGGGAGGCTGATGTTGATGTGAGCTATGACTAACCTCTCAAAGCTCTTCATAATTATGGAAGTCAGAGCCATCTAGCGATAGTCATTGAGGCAGATGGCATGATTTTTCTTTGGCACCAGGATGATGGAAGTCTTCTTGAAGCAGGTGGGGACTTCAGATTGTAGTAAGGAGAGATTAAAGATGTCTGGGAATACTCCCACCAGTTGGTCCACACAGAATCTGTGTACATGGTGGGTACTCTATCCGGGCCTGTCGCTTTCCATGAGTTCACTCTCAAGAAGGCTGATCTGATGTCTGTGGCAGTACAGGTGGTACAGGGGATACAGGTGCATCTGAGGCTGTTGGGATAGGTGACATCATTTCATTGACCTTCTGTTCAAAGCGAGTGTAGAATGCATTGAACTCATTGGGTAGGGATGTTGCCCATGATTCTGTTTGACTTCACTTTGTAGCCCATTGTGTCATGTAAGCCTTAACACAATCAACGGGTGTCTGTGTGGTTAGGCTGAGTCTCAAGCTTTGTTTGGTATTGCCTCTTAGCATCTCTGATGGCCTTACAAAGGTCATACCTGGATTTCCTGTATAGGTCAGGGTTGCCCAATTTGAATGCCTCAGACTTGGACTTCCAGAGGGAGTGGATCTCCGGGTTCATCCATGGTTTCTGGTTAGTGAACATTTGGATTAACTTCTTCAGCTCACAGTCATCTACACACTTACTAATTAAGTCTGTAACAGTAGCAGTATACCCATTTAGGTTGGCCGCTGAGTTCTTGAAAATGGACCAGTCTACTGACTCTAACCAGTCCCGTAGAAGCCCTTTCATTGCCTCAGACTAACACTGCATTACTTTCTGTACTAGGTCCTAACACTTCAATTTCTGCTTGTAAGCTGGGAGGCGGAGCACAGCATTGTGATCTGATTTTCCAAAATGCGGAAAGGCTGTGGAGCAGTAGGCATCTTTGTTAGTTGTGCGGTAATGGTCAAGGATGTTTAGATCTCTGGTGGGACAGGAGACATGTTGATGGTATTTGGGTAGTACATTCTTGAGATTGGCCTGGTTGAAGTCACTGGCTATGCTAAACAAGACTTTGGGGTATTCAGTCTCAAGACTGTTTGTAGCATTGAATGCAAATCAAGCACACACTTCACTTCCGCAAGGGGTGGAATGTAGATTGCTGTCAGGATAGTGGAGGTGAAATCATGTGGTAGGTAGTAGGGACAGCACTTCACTGTAAGGTATTTTAGGTCTTGGGAGCAGTTACTTGCCAGGGTCATGAGCACCAGGAGGTGTTGATCAGGAAAGGGACCCCCACACCCCTTGCCTTAACTGAGGATGCTAAGCGGCCCACTTGGTGAACTGAGAAACCCTCAGGTTGTAAGGCACAGTCAGGTGTTGCAGGAGTGAGCCATGTCTCTATGAAGCAGAGCGTAAAGCAGTCTCTCAATTCCCTTTGGAAGGTGAGTTGAGCTTTTGTTTTCAATGGCTTGGACGTTTGCCAGAGGTATGCTGGGAAGGGGGAACTTGAAACACCATAGCTTTAGTCTTTCCTGAAGGCCAGCACGTCTCACACGTTTCCTGGATAGGTGGCTGCTCCTACTCGATCTCGGTGTCAGTGAGGGAAGTCTGCTGCCCTGAGAGGTAAGTGTGTGCTTCTGATGGGTTCCTGAGCACCAGTTGTGGCTTTGATTCTTACGGAGGATCTTATGGCCAGTTCGGTTGGGCCTCCTCAATGTTGGGTCACCGTGGGGTTAGGTCTTGTTCCTACATTGGTGCACCTTCTGGGCAATGAAGGGCCATTATATCCTACATACATTACTGCCTCTTTTGTTCCTCCCTGTAAACATGGTTTAAATTCATGCATTCTGAGACTACAGAATCTTCTCCTGCCTGGGAATGAGCAGGTACCTAGTTGCCCTGCAGTGCTCCGAGTGCTGGGGACTAGGGCATTGTTTCTTCAGCCGGCTGTAGAGCTGTCACAGTAAGGTTTTCACCAGATTGTACTCCCATAATTTTTAAGCCAAACATTCGCACCGAGGTTTCAACGTCTGAGCCAGTGGGCAGTGTAGGAGATAGCCTTGCTGGTGCTTCCTCTGAGAGGTCAGTACTCTTGTCCTTTGAGGTCAGGAGGTGGCTTCTAGGTAAGCTAGCCATTTCACCACAGTGGTGTCTGCAAATCAAAAGAGAGAGGTGCTGTAGCAAGTGGTTAGAAGTGGTGTATAATATATGCCACTGACACTGGGTTACTGTGAGAGTGACTGTGGAGAGCAGTACTCAGTTGGTAGGACATGGATATTTCAGCATCCCCAAAGCAGTGGTCCCAGTCCTCTCCTGCAAGAGCCAAGATTCTCCCTCATATGGGATGAGTAGCTTAATGTCAGGCACATCTTCATCCACTTGGGTTATCTCTGCACTGTCATGGATGTTTTCTCCTGTAGTAAGGGAAAGGAAGGAATTATGTGGGATGAAAGTGAATGGTACTTACTGGTGCTGTCTGACGAAAGGTGGTGAGCTGTCTCAAATGACTGAGTCGGCTGCACAGAGGGAATGCAGGAAGTGTGGGAGGTTTGGGGCTTAGATGGGATAGGACATTGCAGGCAATAGTGAGAGTATTAAGCAATGAGCATTGGTGGGATTGGCTGCAGTACCAGAGATAGAGTATGTACCAAATAGCAGAAAGAAGAAGATGGCACTTAACTTGGTGAAGAAAATCATTGACTTTCTCACGGCACTGCTGCCTGTTCCTCCACAGTATGGAGATGGCACAGATCCAGGCAGTGACCTTGGACCAGCCTGCCAGGGTCTGCTGGTGAGGTGCTTCTCTGCTGGTGCTATAGGAAGAGGTCTCCCTTTCTTTGAATCGCCACTTCAATCAGAACCTCCAAGTCCCTGTTGGAGAATCCCACTGATATCTTCTGATTCTGTGACATCTTCTTGACTAAACATGGCAGCTTTGGAATGCCAGTGCTCATCCAGGTGCAGGGTGGTCTTTAAAGATGGCAATGGATGCTGATTTTCAGGGAACATCCACTGAGTGGTGAGTTATTCTGGGAACGCAAATGGACTCAAATGGGCCGGACTTAAATGTGCCAAATACCATACGGATGGGGTAGATGATTAATTAGGTGAGTTTGGTATGGCATGACGAGAAAATGTGCTCGGCCTTGTGGTAAAATTTGTTACTTGTTATTACTCCTGAATCTAGTTCCAAGGCACCAATATTACTTTAGCTGCTCTTCTTTTTACACACATATAAAAGTAGTTATAACCGGTTTGCATCTTCCTAGCAAATTTACTGTCATGTTTTACATTCCCATTTTAATCAACTTTTTGGTCGCCCAGAAAGTGTGGGTTTCCAAAGCACTCCTAATTGGGGAGGCAATGGCCTCATGGTATTATCGCTGGACTGTTAATCCAGAGACCCAGGCAATGTTCTGGGGACCCAGGTTTGAATACTGCCACGGCAGATGGTGAAATTTCAATTCAATAAAAAATATCTGGAATTGAGAATCTAATGATGACCATGAATCCAATGTCGATTGTCAGGAAAAACCCATCTGGTTCACTCATCTCCTTTAGGGAAGGAAACTATCATCCTTGCCTGGTTTGGCCTACATGTGACTCCACGCCCACAGCAATGTGGTTGACTCTGAACTGCCCTCTGGGCAATTAGGGATGGGCAATAAATGCTGCCTAGTCAGCGACGCCGTCTTCCCTCAAATGAATAAGGAAAAAAAAATCCTTGGGTTTCCTACAATTCTGGCAAGATTATAAACCACTTCCTCTAATCTGATACTGCCCTTAGTTTCCTCAGATGATCTTTCTGTCTAAAGTTTGTTTTTTTAATGGAATGTACATTTTGTTGAACATTTTGAATTGTTTGTTTCAACATTTCCTCTTAACTATCACCATACTTTTTAGCCTATTTTCCCGATGAACTTTATTGAGCTCTCCTCTTAACTGCGTAGGTATAACTTTAAGATTTCTGTTTGGAATGGAGGATGTCCCTTTCAAACTTAATATGGAATTAAATTATATGATGTTTTCCAAGTGGCTCTTTTACTATGAAATTACTAATTAACCCTGCCTCATTGACTTAAATCTAAAAGATTGTTTACATGGTGCAGGTATCAAATCGCAGAATTATAAAATATTTTAGTTGCAGAATATATGATTTTTTGGCATCTTGGCAAAAGGTGCTTTTTGTGTCTTGCTTACTCTCCCAATATTTCCATAGGCAACAGACAAAAAGGTATATGTGATGTCACATTGCTTCTCTCATGTTTTGTTGTAGCTAAGGATTTGATTCGCCATGACCAAACAATGTGCCTCCTGGATGCTCGACACAAGCAAGACATGAAGAATTTAAACAGGGCTATTGGTGAATTCCGTATACGCTACCAAAAGCCTGACACACGTCGCGAGTTTGATCTGAATGACCCACAAGCCTTAAAAAAAGATGTTCCTGCCCGAATTTCAGACACTGATCCTCGTTGCACTGTATCCAGTATACAGAAGCTTCTTGGGGAAGATTTACAACGACAAGAACGGATTAAACGTCAACAGGAACAAACCAGGGAGTGGTTACTTGCACAGCAGAAAGATTTGAAGAATGCTTTGGAAGACCAGAAGTTTGCAAGTTAGTAGAATTAAAAAATAAAACTCAACCTTATGATAGATATTACTGCCAAATATCAAATAACCAATTGTTTGAGAGGTCACTTAGATTCTGCCTGTGGAGAAATGCCTTTTCTTCATTCTATAGCTACCTCAGGCAGAACCGTACAAATTCAAAGTTAGCTTTTTTCCCAAATTTAAGAGTGGCAAAGTCTTCTAATAAATTAATAACTGGAATATCATGCTGTTTCTATCCACACAAGTGGATTTTGTGATCAGAAAACATATTTTATATTGAAAAATAAGTATTCTTTCATTTTAAATGAAACTAACAACACTTACAAACACCCAGCATGGAGCACATAAATGGAGACTGAAGTACGCACAGTTAGGGCAACAGACACTATTCTCTGCAGCAAAGTCAGAGATTCCCAAAGATTGTGTTGCATGTCTCATGGCAAAGTTGAGAATATCTCTTCTGGGTTGGAGAGAAACTTGGAGTGGGTGGGGAAGGATCCTGTTGTCATCGTACATGTGGTCCACATAACAACTTGGTAGGACTAAGAAAGAGGTTATGCTGAGGGATTATGAGCAGCTCAGGCTAAATTAAAAAGCAGAATTATAAAATTAAGAACCGCCAAATTATTACCTGAGCCACATGCAAATTGGAATAGGATGGTTAAGGTTAGAGTGGTAAATGCACACCTCAAAGATTGTTGGGGGAGAAATGGTTCCAATTCATGGGATACTGGCACCTGTAATGGGGAAAGACAGCTGTTATATTGGGATGGGCTTCATTGGAACTGTGCTGGGATGGTGGTAATCCATACAACTAAATTAAAAATCAACCTCACTTGGAAATATATTGCTGTTCCTTCACTGTCACTGGGTCAAAATGCTGGTATTCCCTCCCTAAGGGTATTGTAGGTCAACCTACACCAAGTGGACTCCAGCAGTTCAAGAAGGCAGCTCACCAACACCTTCTCCACAGCAACTAAGGAAGGGCAACAAATGCTGACCAGCCAGCAACGCCCACTTCCCACTAGTAAATAGTGGCATGGTGTCTCAGTGGTTAGCACTGCTGCCTCACAGCGCCAGGGACTCAGGTTTGATTCCAGCTTTGAGCGACTGTCTGTGTGGAGTTTGCACATTCTCCCCGTGTCTGCATGGGTTTCCTCCGGGTGCTCCAGTTTCCTCCCTCAGTCCAAAGATGTGCAGGGTAGGTGGATTGGTCATGCTAAATTGCCCATAGTGCTCAGGAGTGTTAGACAAGGGAAATGCATGGGTAGGGGTAGGGGAATGGGTCGGGGTGGTCTTCGGAGGGGAGGTGTGGACTTATTGGGCTGAATGGCCTGTTTCCACACTGTGGGGATTCTATGATTCTATGAAAAGTGCCGTTATTTCTACCTTAATAATTGGAGCCTAGGATTTTCCCAGCAACAGATGTTAGGTTTACTGGCCTGTGGTTTCCTGCTTTCTATCTCCTGCCTACTTGAAAAAGGGTGTCTCCACCCCCACCCGAGTTATTAATTTAAAGTCCTATCTAGGTCAATCTTCACAGAGACGGACATGAGAAGCATCCCAAAGATAATAGGTAAGCAAGGTGTTAATTGGAGGAAAAATCTTATAATAATCTATCTCAAAAGGGTCAATTTATTTGACAAAGTAATGGTTTTGGAAGTAGTATAGTAGCATGGATAGAAGATGAGCTAACTAATAGAAGACCGAGAGGTGGGATAAAGGAACAATTTTCAGAATGGCAACTTGTAACTTGTGGAGTGCCAAAGGGATCACTGCTGGGACCTCAATTATTTACAATATACCTTAATAACTTGGATGCGGAAGTGACTATTATAGCCAAGTTTGCAGATAACACAAAAATAGATGGGAAGGCAAATAGTGAGGATGACACAAAGAGTATAGACAGGTTAGGCAAGTGAGAAAAAATTGACAGATGGAATATAATGTGAGAAAATGTGAGGTTATGCACTTTGGTAGGAAAAATAGAGAAGCTGAATATTATTTAAATGGAGAAAGACTGCGCAGAGCTACAGAACCAGGGGTTTTGGGAGTCCTTGTGTATGAATCTCAAAAAGTGAATGGAATATTGGCCCTTATTTCAAAGGGAGTGGATTGTGAAAGTCATACAAGGTACTATTCAGACCACAGCTGGAACAGTTTTTGACCTCTTATCTAAGGGAAGATAGGCTGGCTAGACTAATACTAAATATACAGAGGCTGTATTCTAAAGAGAGCTTGAGTAGGCTGAGTCTATACTCATTGGAATTCAGAAGAATGAGAGGTGATCTTATTGTAACAAACAAGATTCTTAAGGAATTTGACAGAGTGGATATGGAAAGGTTGTTGGAGAGTCTAGGAGCAAGGGACATAATCTCAGAATAAGGGATTGTTCATTTAAGACAGACTTGAGGAAGAAATTCTTCTCACAGAGGGTAGTGAATCTATAGAATCCTTAACTGCCAAGGTATGTTGAGGCTGCATGATTAAGTTAGGCAGATTTTCAATCAATAAGAATCAAAGGTTATATGGAAAGGGCAGGAAAGTGGAGTTGAAGGTTATTAGCTCAGCCATGAAGATTGTGATCTCCTATGTCTTATAGTCTTATGGTGCCATGTCATTGATTTCAACTGCCAAAGCTTTCCCCTAGTACTTGGAGTTCTGATGAAATGTCACAGACTTCTAGTTTTCCGATATTGCACTATTATGCTTTTACTTGTAGGTTAGCTAGATTAACATCTATTCTTGTTCAAATCCAGTCTAGACTGATGAAAAGAATTTTTTTTTCCAATAACGTGAATGTTCACAGATGGATTTGTAATTTGGGCACACAATTCTTAATAACTAAAATTCTATGGTACAAAACTTTCCCAGAACTTACATGTAATGACACTGAGCTAACAATTTCTTTGAAAGACTGCTAAGGGGATGTCATTTGAAAGAAAGAACTTGCAATTATGTAGTTTTATTTATGTCTCCTAAAATACCTCAAATAATTTCACATAGAATAAATTGTGATGGATTATAGTTACAACTGTAATGCATTTGACTGCAACAGCAAGATTCCACAAACAACAGTGAAATACATTACACATCAATGTATTTTCATTGTTGGTTGAAGGAACAGTGCTGATCAGAGCACTCATGGAACTTAAGAATGTAAGAAACAGGAGCATGAGTAGAACAAATGGCCTCTCTGAGCCAGCTGTTCTGCCTCAACTTTAATGCCTGCTCCCAACATCTCTTGATTCCTCGAGAGACCCAAAAACCTGTTTGAATTAGGCTTAAATCTAGTCAACACTGGAGCATCCAAAATCCGCTGCAGGGTAACCTTATAGAAGTTTATAAAATTATGAAGGGCATGGATAGGGTGAATAGGCATGGTTTTTTCCCCAGGGCAGGGGAGTCCAAAACTAGAGACCATAGGTTTAAGGTGAGCGGGGAAAGATTTAAAAGGGACCTAAGGGGCAACGTTTTCACGCAGAGGATGGTGCCCGTATAGAATGATCTGCCAGAAAAGGTGGTGGAGGCTGGTGCAATTACAACATTTAAAAGGATTCTGGATGTGTATATGAACAGGAAGAGTTTAGAGGGATATGGGCCAAATGCTGGCAAATGGGTCTAGATTTATTTAGAATATCTGGTCAGCATGAAGAATTGGTCCAAAGGGTTGGTTTCCCTGCTGTACATCTCTATGACTCTAGGGTAAAGAATTCTAAATGCTCTTAGCTCTGAGTGAAGAAATATTTCCCCATCTAAGTCCTGTGTTAATAGTTCCTGCTGCATCTCCATGTCAACCATGGTCAACCAATTAGTGCTGTATAAATTGGTGTTCCCTTTCAGAATTTGGTTTCTTTCATTCTAGTCCTGATGAATTTAAGATAAAAAGTTCAGATTTGTCTCTCTTTTGAACAATTTTAAGTTCTGTACTATCAAACAATTAACAGTAAAATTTGAAGTAAAACAAGTACTTTCCTAAGTTAATATTTTGTATAATTTTTGTTCCTTTTTTTCAGATAGTCTGTATGATAAATATAGGATAGCTCAGGACCAAAGAGCTTGTGAACTGCAACAAATGGAAGAAAATACGAGGAGAGCTGTTACTGTAGCAACAAAAGATTTTAATCGGGCACAGGTTTCACTTTTCTTTCCACCTTATTTGCTTTTGTTTAGAGATTAAATCAACAGTGCACATCTCCACATGTCCTGCCTGTTCATAGAAAGTCCTCAATTACATAAAATGAACTTGCATATGTAGATAAGGTAGGGAAAAGGTGACTCCAACTGTACTTTAGTGCTTATGATTCTATCAGCCACCAGTTAATTCAATTCTTTTTGAGAAAGCAAAGTTGTGGATATGAATCTAATAGATGTCAAGTTGTTGATGAATGATTCACCCAAATGTTTACAGCACAGTTTCAAATGTGCATAATATTTGCAAAAAATATCTTCAGTGTGTGTTCATGTCAGCAACCAAGACAAAACTGACAAGATAGAGGATATTTTGAGCATTAGAACTGCCTTTCATAAATTTAAAAACAACCAATGTGGAAGAAATTGTTGTTGTTATCAATAATCACTTGCTAATGAGTATAATTGTCCACCTAGGAAATTGCGTGTCACTGGTCATGGGTTCTGTGGGTCCTTGTGGCTGATGTGCCTGATTCTAGAGGTGCGTCTCCAACAGCACATTTTGCATACGTTTGCAGGAGGTGGAATTGGTCCTTGGTCTTGGATCATTTGCATTTCTTTTTCTGGTTCCTTTTCCATACTTCCTCTTGCTGATGGGTGTTCTGAAAGAATTGTGTCCCTTCATACAGAAGCTCTTTCCAACTTGGTTTCTTCTAAATGACGATCTCCCACATATTGACATCAATGTTGCACTTCTTGAGGGAAGCTTCAGGGAGTCTTGAAACACTTCTTTTGTCCTCTATTTGTTGGAGTGGTTCCCTACAGCTGGGTAAAGATGATTTACTTTGGCAGTCAGAACTCAGGCATTCTAAACACATGGTAGGTCCAGCAGAATTGGTTTTGGATGTTTCATGGCCTCAACGCTATGCTATCAGCTGTTTCAAGGATGCTCATGTAAGTATGTCTCTCCTTCCAGCTGATGCAGAGAAGCCATTTCAAACAGTGTTGATGGTACTTTTCAAGGGCCTTAATGTGGCGATTATATGTAATCCACGTTTCAGAGTTTTGCAGAAGAGTCATTAGGCTGACTGCCTTATACATAAGCATTTTGGTATCAGCAAGTATGTCACAGTCATCAAAGATTCTTATCCTTCAGCATCTGAAGATGGCACTCACAGTTTGGATGTGATGTTGAATCTCCACATCGACGTCAACCTTAGATGAGAGGTAGCTTCCAAGCTAGGAGAAATGTTCCAATTTTGGGGGATTTCTCCATTGATCTTAAAGGAAGATGGACCAGAACTTGACCGTTTTATTTATTCTTTTATTTATTCATTTGTAGGATATGGGTATCACTGTCACTGACTGGCCAGCATTTAATGCTTGTTGCTAGTTGCCCTTGAGAAGGTGGTGGTAAGCTGCCTTCTTGAACTGCTGCAGTTCACCTGCCATTAGGGAGGGAAATCCAGGATCTTGACCCAGTGACAGTGAAGGAACGGTGATATATTTCCAAGTCAGGATGGTGAGTGGCTTGGAGGGAACTTGAAGCTGATGGTATTCCCATATATCTGCTGCTGTTATCCTTCTAGATGGAAGTGGTCGTGAGTTTGGAAGGTGCTGTCCGAGGATCTTTGGCGAATTTCTGCAGTGCATCCTGTAGATAGCACATACTGCTGCTACTGAGCATCGGTGGTGGAGGGAGTGAATGCCTGTGAGTGTAGTGCCGTTCAAGTCAGCAGCTTTGTCCTGGATGGCATCCAGCTTCTGGAGTATTGTTGGGGCTGCACTCATCTAGGCAAGTGGAGAGTAGTCCATCACAGTCCTAACTTGTGCCTTGTAGGTGGTGAACAGGCTTTGAGGACTCAGGAAGTGAGTTACTTGCTGCAGTATTCCTAGCTTCTGACCTGCTCCTGTAGCCATTGTGTTTATGTGGTGAGTCCAATTGAGTTTTTGGTCAATGATAACCCCCAGGATATTGATAGTGGGGGATTCAGTAATGGTAACATTGTTGAATGTGAAGGGGCAGTGGTTAGATTGTCTCTTTTTGGTGATGGCCATAGCCTGACATTTGTGTGGCGTGAATGTTACTTGCCACTTGTCAGCCCAAGCCTAGATGTTATCCAGATCTTGTTGCATTTGAACATGGACTTCTTCAGAATCCGAGGAGTCACGAATGGTGCTGAGCATTATGCAATCATCAGTGAACATCCACTTCTTACCTTATGATGAAGGAAGGTCATTAATGAAGCAGCTGAAGATGGTTGAGCCTAGGACACTACCCTGAGGAACTCCTGCATAGATGTCCTGAAGTTCAGATGATGCACCACCAACAACCATGACCATCTTCCTATGTGTCAGGTATGACTTCAACCACCAGAGAATTTGCCCCCTGATACCCGTTGATTCCAGTTTTGATAGGGCTTCTTGAGCTCGGGCTCCAACCTAAGACAGGTTGGCAAAAGATTTGAGTTTTCTTTAGATTGAGGCTGAGACCAATTTTTCGGTATGTTTCTCCAAAGGCATTAGGTGAATTTTGAAGATCCTGTTCTGAGAGAGCAGAGATGGTATTGTCATCACACACTGAAGTTCCACAAGTGAGGTTGGTGTTGGTTTCTTCTTGGATTTCAACCAGTTAAGGTTGAGAAGTTTTTAAGCAATTCTGTAAACAATGTCCACACCTCACTGGGGAGCTTTTTCTTGACAAGCTGAAGAATGGTGGCAATGAAGATAGAAAAAGGGTGGAGGGGGGAAGGAATGGTGATGACAGACCCTTGCTTGACCCTTGTCTTGACCTCAAAGAATTCTGTCATGTCACTATCAATGGGAACCATAACTGACATCTTGTTGTGGAGGAGAGGGGAGAGATAACCAGGAGGAGAAATAGGGTAATTTGAATTTAAACAGGACCATTTTACATGGTGAATGTAATTCTCTAAAAGAGGAAAAAAAATGAACTGAACTTAAGTAGACTATTAGGTGAACTGGTCTAACATGACTAAGCGGTATGTAAGACCTCAGCTAGGGGACAGTGCCGAATAAAGACTATCTGGAGGTGCTCCCAAAGGCCCTTCATTATTCACTTGTTGGCAATTTTAATTTTAACTAACTAATATTGTTAAATGTGGCACAGGTGATACATTGTTGACAATGCCTTACTTATCTATTCCTGGCCACCACCAACCACACACCAGGCAACTATGCATAGTGTTCCTCCAAAAGTGTTGATTTTCAAGATAAACCGTGGGTAAATTCTGTTGCATACACTCTGAGGCCACAACCTACCCATCCCTTCTTCATCTTTTCATTCGTCTTATCTCCTTTCCCAATATTTCATTTTGATCCCAGGTGTCCCATCATGTACATTCTGCTGTATACAGTCTCCAGTGGAGGTCACATACCCACATCTTCTCTAGGTGGTCATGTAATCATGGATGACCCCAAAAACATATCTACTGTAAGTGTATCTATTCATAGTACTTTCCTCGGCTAGGTCTTCAGTGAGAGCTGTCAGCTCCACCACCTGTGGTAAGTTGTCTTCCCTGAAGCTTTCCTCAGCCATCACGGTGCCTCAGCTTTCTACCACAGTCCAGCCTGTTCTAGGGTCTCTGTGCACATGCTCCCATAATCCATGTACAAAAAGAGTGGGGTCTGCATTTTTGAGAATGCTTCTCAATGATTCAGCTAGGATTTTCTGATATATAATTTTCTTGTATGTGGTGCCACCCTAAATCCACAATGCCTTCTGCAGAGTTGGGACCCATATCTATAAACGTATGTATTGACATGCTTCTGGCAGTATTACTATCTCCTATATAAATTTCTAGCTGTCCAAGACTGAATTTTAATCTGTCTGTGTTCGACTGTTCCAGTAGAACACATCTTATAAAACATAGAAGTAGACAGCACCATAACGGGCCCTTCGGCCACCATATCTGTGCCGATCATGATCCCATTCTAAACTAATTCTGAAGTAACAGAAGGCCATTCAGCCCACCGAGTCTGCTCCGCCATTCAATCATGGCTGATAAGTTCCTCAACCCCATTCTCCCCCTTTCTTCCCGTAACCCTTGATCCCCTTGATAATCAAGAACCTATCTATCTCAGTCTTAAATGTACTCAATGACCTGGCCTCCACAGCCTTCTGTGGCAGTGAGTTCCATAGATTCACTACTCTCTGGCTGAAGTAGTTTCTCCTTATCTCTATTCTAAAAGGTCTTCCCTTTACTCTAAGGCTGTGCCCTCGGGTCCTAGACTCTCCTACCAATGGAAGCATCTTCCCAACATCCACTTTGTCCAAGCCATTCAGTATTTTGAAAGTTTCAATTAGATCCCCCCTCATCCTTCTAAACTCCAATGAGTATAGTCCCAGAGTCCTCAAACGTTCCTCATATGTTAAGCTTTCCATTCCTGGGACCATTCTCATGAACCTCCTCTGAACCCGGTCCAGGGCCAGTACATCCTTCTTCAGATATGGGGCCCAAAACTGCACGCAATACTCAAAATGTGGCCTGACCAGAGCCTTATAAAGGCTCAGTAGTACATCCCTGCTTTTATATTCAAGTCCTCTCAAAATAAATGCCAACATTGCATCCCCTTGATAATCAACCTTGATAACCTCTGACACTCCTGTTTAGATCTGTCTGCCAGGGCTCCCTGATTGGACCAGATTAACAGCCCCAATCATGGAACTCTTATTCTGTGAGGTCCACCTGGCTGACCTCTTTGCAATCACTACAAATCCTGTCTGCCTCTACATGGTCCGTATCCTTCTATTCTCTGACTGTTCATGTGTCTGACTGAATGCCCCTTAAACATTGCAGTTATGTCTGCCTGTACCACCTCCTGCAGCAGCATGTTCCAGGCATCTATCATTCTCGAAAATAGCAGGGACCATTCTGATATGTTCTATTGGCGTCATGGAAAGTATAAGGAGGTCATCTACATATTGCACCAAGGTGTTGTCCTTCTAAGTTAGGTCTAGGTGTTATAAGACCAAACCCATGATGCAGTGAAGTATTGCTGACTATTTTTGAATCTTGTAGAACATATGTCAAAGCGTACTGTAGATTTTCAACTGTGAATTCAAACTTCTGTTGAGACTCCTGTTTCTGTTAATCAACCAGAATCCATTAGTTATTTCCAGGGTGGTGAATATTCAATATTCTGACTTAAGGCCATTGAATATTGTCACGGGACTAGCTACAATTGGTTATTTCCTATAGGTAAACATTTTAATGTGGTATAATTGATCGTTAATCCACCCATTTTTTTCTTAACCTGCCACATGGGGGAGTTAATGTTTAAGTTGGTTGGTTTGACCACATCCTTTCTCTCTCAACTGTTGTACAATTATTAGCTTTAATGGAATTTTCCTAATTGGGTTCTGGCCCTGTACTTATTCTAATGAGGTCAGGACATCATAGAATATGAGTTCCCTGATTGGAGCTGTTAATCTGGTCCAATCAGGGAACCTTGGTTGACAGATATAAACACAGTGTTAGAAGTTCTGTTCACTCTGAGAGCTGGCTCTGAGGAAGCTGGATCAATGTCAAGGACTTTCCATATACAAATAAAGGGTGACTTGTTGATGGGATACTGGCCTCTGCAGTTAGCTCAGGCCCCTTTTTATGCTTCTTGATTTCATATTCATCAGCCCATAATCTTGTTTATCTTTTGCCCATACATTGGAAATCAGTTGATGGATCAGTACCAGGTCTGGGCTCTCTCCAATGTATTTCTGTGATACTGTTAACAGTTATGCCTACCATCCAAGGTGTTGCTGACTCCCCAGGGTATCTGCAAATTCTGCTACTCTTTCAGTTTAGCCAAATTATCTATCCTCCTTTGGGTCTATTAATATTGCCAGTTCTCAGAGAATGCAGCTATAGAGAAACCTCTAGGGTCTTAAAACAGATTGCTGATAAAATGATAGCTACATTGGGAGTGTAGATTTGAAAATACAAACAGATCAGCCATGTTCGTATTGAATGGTGGAGCAGGCTTGAGGGCCAACTGCTCTACTTATTTTCCTATTTTGTATATTCGTCTATCAATTCCCAATGTGTTGGGAACATGAAATCTCCTATTTCCAATAGAATGATCTTGCTTTGCTATGGTGGAAGGCATTTCTCACTTACATCTTGCTATAACTATATGGCATCACGTGGTGGAGAGAATTTAATTCAGTTGCTTATGGATACAGAGGCACCCATGCTCATTATTATGGTTACCTTGCAGTGGGCATTCCCTTTTTATGCCTTATATCTACCTCAGTGGTCCACTGCAGTATCTCATTGTAATTTGCTATGACCAGCAATCCTATTTCTAAGATCTTTTGAAGACGAGAACTGAATCTCTCCTTCAACATACTTAGGAGCATAATTGCAGGCAATATTACCATCGTTCAGGGTTTTTGCTACTACAGCAGACCAGTTAAGAGTATGAATCTCCCAATGTTCTTTGTGCCTCTTCCTTGAACTGTCAAATTTCTGTTTATTTCTTTATCTTTATTCCAAAAATCAGTATTTGTGTGATGCTATTCAGGTGAGGACAATACTCCCATCAGCATCTGTTTCTCAGTTAGGGTAAGGAGGGCATATTGCATTATTGTCTGGGTATTACACTGTACCTCGGTAATGTGATCTTTTATTATGTGGACCATCACCATCTATCCTCTTGCTTTGGCAAAAGCGGCAATGACAGAGTCACAACTTCAAAGTCTGATGGGATCTCCTGACTATTAAATTGTCTGCTATACTCAGCAGCTTCCAGGCAACATCTGGGGATGCAAGACATAGTTCTAGTGCCTGTGTTGTGCTCACTTCATTTTGTCTCCTTTTATGCTGTCTTTTTATGTATTTACAAGTGTTAAGTAGCTGCTAATTACTTTAATGACGCCCTTTTCTTCCTTTGAGTCTCCTACCATCCTTTTTGTTTAGCCAGGGTGTCTTCTGGATCCCATCCTTTCTTTCTTATTTTCCTTATTATTTTCTTAGATGTATTTGCTATAAGTCTGTTTATACCATTCTGATCCCCACTTTTGGTCGCCTGGCATGATTGTGGAGTGTCTTGCCTCTGGCTTGCAGTCCAATGGCTCATGCCTACCTGTCTTCTATCTGATCTGTCACTTAGGAATGATTCTGACCTATTTACATATTTTTGGTAGTGCATGGCTAATTGTGCAGTTCCTGCGTTCTCACCTTCAAGTAACTCTCAGGTTCAGGTCTCCACCAATGTTATCATACGATCACCGGTGGTAAGATAATGACACACACTTCTCTGGTGCATCTGAATAATTGGTTCCTCAGATAACAAGGTGTAGAGCTGGATGAACACAGCAGGCCAAGCAGCATCAGAGGAGCAGGAAAGCTGACGTTTTGGGCCTAGACCCTTCTTCAGAAAATGAAATGAATGAAGCAGCAGTTTATTTGTCGGTACAAGTATGCATTTTGGGGAGGTCGTGCTCAGCTTGCTCCAAAAGCTTCTCAGTATTACAGCACTTTTCTTGTACATTCAAACCATTCTTTGACATTTCACCATTAACCATAATTACATTATATGCTCTTATTTATACTTACATTTTTGCACCAACAGGTCTATGTAAAAACAAACCACACCTAGCCCTTGTTGTTCAATAATTCTACTCCCTCTCATGTCAAAATGCCCTGTCCCCTACCTCCCCGATCTTCTCAACTTTCCATTTCTCTCTTTAAGTACTTATTTTATCAAGAACATTTATTTATCATTAGTAGTAATATCCTACTATATATAACCTTACACTTGTCATTGTCAACAGAAATATTCCCTTAAGTCACCACTTTTGCTCTTGCTGTTGCATCTGGTGATCCACACCTTGCTTAGTCTGTTAGTCCTAAATTGTTTCTGCAATTTCAGCAAGACTAAACAAAATATATAATCTACATGTATAATATATACATCTATGTAGCTTTGCACATTATACCTTTTCACAAGGGCAAACTAATTTGACATCTTCCATTTCAGACTGAGAAAAGTTAAAAAGTACTTTCATTAGGTGCAATAGGTCAACAAATCAAACAACATTTTTAGGTTTGATTCTATTATGTTTCACAAAAAGGCGATAAATTGGAAGTTTTTTTTATCTTTATGTGGTTTAGGCAACTGAATCCGCTACAAAACATAAACTTGAAAAACTCCAAGAGCAAGAAGACAATGCAATTGACATTCAAAACCAGATGCACAGTGATTTCTTAACAGAAAACCCAAAACAGGCATTTAGTGCTTTTGGACCAAATCGTGTCATTGTACATCGCTGGAAAGGAATGACACCAGACCAGATGGATGCTGTTGCTCGCAAATGGAAGCAACAGGTCCAGGAGAAAAAGGTAATAGTATCAGTGGTCTTTAATTTTGCACATTTCCCTGCCACTTGCCATATTTATATTTTGTGTAGTTCTAATGACATTGGAATTGTTGACTGCCTTTAGCATTCTTCTTGCATGATACATGGTGAGTGGTAATGGCCATTGGTCATGAAACAAATTTTGTCTCATGTCTACAAAAGCATACTTTACAGCAATTATAGGATGGTGGTCAAGAATGGGGAGTCTAATATTTTTCTCACTTTCCCTAATCTTAGGCCACTAAGAGCAATCCTCATGTTTACAATTATTCCTTATTTTTATAGCCACGTTAGAACAGACTAAGGACTAATGTCCCCTTTGAGTGCATGGCTTAGTGATACACCAAGTAGCATTTCTCCACTGACCTGTTAGAACCTCTGTGATTTAAAATAGACTGAGAACATATTGTCATGATTTAACAGAGTTAACATTTTGGGTCCGGTGACCCATCCTCAGAACCCGACCCAGACCCGAAACGTTAACTCTTTTTTTCTTCACAGATGCTGCCAGACCTGCTGAGCTTTTCCAGCAACTTTGTTTTTGTTCCTGATTTACAGCATCCGTAGTTCTTTCATTTTTTATTTGTCATGATTTAAGTTCAGACCAGACACTGGTCATGATGAACACAAAGGTGTTTTTCAAAAACAAGCTTTGACTCCCTGTAATACAAAATATGACAATACACATAATAGACATTTGATGCTACAGATTTGAGTATTGATGAAAAAAGACATGTTTTGTTGAAGCTTTTCACTCTGCACCCATCAGGATAATTTTTAATTCATCCAAATACCAATTCAATGGGAAAGTCAACCCTCTTCAACATAATGTGTATTTTTTCAGCAGTACACATTATTTCAGAAATTGGTGAAAAACAGCCCAAATTACATTCATATATATTCTGAGAATAATATGTAACATCATAATACAAATCTGATCTCTCCAAAACTGATTTTTAAAAATGCATCAGCAATATGTGGATCTATTTTAAGAATATCTGCTATCAGCAGGAGCCTCACTCTATTCACCAAGTTGGGAAATTACAATGACCTTTTAAAAAAGATTCAAAACTCTAATTTAGAAGAGTTAGGAATAGTATAAATACCACTATTTACCACACAATAAAACTAAATTCCTTTATAAACTCCTACTTACAAACACATGGACAAACAAATGGGGAAAATAGATTATTGGTGGAGGTAGAAAACTGGAAAGACAGTTTGGTGGTCTTTGCTTCCTGGTTCCAATGGTGAGATGATCCTTCTTTGGCAATCAGGCCCTTGGTGTTCAGTTTTCGTTCTCTGGAAGCTTCCACTGGTTTGTAAGAGGTACAGAGAGACTGACTCACTAGGAAAATGTCTCTGATTTTTCTATTCAAAAGTCACAGCCCACATCAACTGCTGCAAGAAAGGTATCAGTTTTCTTCAAGTTTAAATTTAATTTTTTTTACTGCAGAGAACAGACAGCTTCTGTTAGGGAAAATAACTGCACACACATCTGTACCTTTCGGTCTCTCTGTGTCTCTGTAACTTGTTTCCAATTTAACCTGCTCAGTTGTCTGAGAACCAATCAGTTTCACTTGTAAATAAGTTCCTGGCTGTTGATCATCTGCATATTGCAGGAACCAATAGCCACAAAAACAGAGTTCACAATAGGTATCAAATTCTTTGCTATGAAATTATTCAATTCTCCTGATAAATCCATGTTATTTTAAAAAGTTCCATATAATTGCAGTCCACAGTTTTTAAAGACAAAAAAAAGACACAGTCCTCATACCAGAAACATCTGTGATTTAGTTCCTGTACCTTTGTTCTGTACCATCCTGCATGTATAATTGTATGTGTGCCTGTTATAAAACAACCCCTCCGCACGTTGCACTCCTATCACATATAAAAGTGTATGAAACAAACCCATTTCTGGCTTTTAACTTCATTACAGTGTTGTTGCAGAGCCCACAAACAGAAAGAGTAGGCAAAATAATGTCCCTCCATGTTTAAACGCGAGGAAATAAATTAAATCTCAATCTGTTTATCGACAGGTAGTCAGAATAGGGAGACAGATTTGTTTTAAAATTTTCAGTCTGTTCATGACATAATTTAGTTATGTTGATTATCTGTTGGAAGTATTGAATAAAATGCCTCTGGAGCCAATACTTGGACTGTTCTTCCTAATTTCCATATATAAAACCTATACTCAGAAAAACAATGCAAAGCGGTCAAAATATGCAGATGATAACGAACTAGATGAGTCAGCCGAATTGACCATATTACCACAGGATTTATAAAATCTGTTGGATAAATATGAACATTTTCAGTTGAAATTTCATTTAATTGCCACACCTAGGCAGAAATACACAATATGTTGAACTGGCAGCATCTGTGGAGAGAGATATATGCTACCAGACCTGTTGAGTTTCTCCAGTATTCTCTGTGTTTGTTTCATGAGTTCATCTCTGGCAGTTAATACCATATGTCGAAAGTTAGACTTCTTTCTCAATGTTGAAAATCTGATTTTTTGGTTTGCCATATTTTCCCAATTGGCTTGCCATTACCCATGTCATAGAATCGTAGAATCCCTACAGTGTGGAAGCAGGCCATTTGGCCCATCAAGTCCACACTGACTCTCCAAAAAGAATCCCACCCAGACCCACCCCTCCTCCCCTATCCCTGTAATCCCACATCTCCCATGGCTAGTCCACCTACCCCGCACACCCCTGGACACTATGGGCAATTTGGCATGGCCAATCCACTTAACCTGAACATCTTTTGACTGTGGGAGGAAACCAGAGCATCTGAAGATTGTGCAAACTACATTGACAATCACTCGAGGATGGAATCAAACTCAGGTCCCTGGTTCTTTGAGACAGCAATGTTAACCACTGAGCCACCATGCTGCCCCCTCATTCAGGACTGGAACAAGTCCACTCATGGAAACTGGCTTCCAGGTAGCTGAACAGTTTGAGGATGTGAATGATCAGAGCAGAAGCTGTTGGACCTCTGGGAGGAAAGAAGCTGTGCTCTAACTGCAGTAAACAACATCTGAAACCTGAGATAATCAGTTTACTTCCGGGGTTCTGATTGGCGGAAGTGTCACCTGTGAAAACCCAGTGTAAAGGGACCACTGAACTGTCTTCCTGATTTTTGCCACAAACCATAAACCCATTTTTTAATTTTGTGTCTGTCCACATTTGTCTCTGTGTGCATGTGTCTGTGTAGAGGGGTTATTTTATAAGTCAAGTTAGCATTTTAACTAGTAGAATTATATGTCAACAGTTTGTAATCATTTATCAATAGTTATAATCCATTTATTGATAGTAAACAGTAAATTGAAGTACAGAAACCTGCTCCACGCTTTCTGTCCACCTGGGTCTAAAAAAGAGGTAAATTGTGGAATTCTGCATACTTCTCAAAATCTTTAACTTTTGTAATGATTCTGGGAATTGTGGAGGTTGATTTCCAGCACTCTACACCATGGAAGCACAGCAGTTACTAATTGCATGCAAATGGACCTCTTGCCTCTTTAGCAAAATTCTTGTCTTGCTGTTAAAACCTTGGGTGGAAATTTGTACAATTTTTTCAACATTAATTTCATTCTTTCAATCTTGCCATATTTTCCCAACTGACTCGCCATATTGTTCAGGTTCCCTATAATTTTATTCTAATTTTTCCATTCTTAGCAAACGTCTGTGGAATCCCCTTTTACATTTATTAACATAGTTTAACAGTTTATTGACTCTGTTGCTGTTTCCGAAGATGGTGCCAGACTACAATGTGTCCTTGACTTTTTTCTTTGAATGGGTTGGATTTTTATTTGTTACCCTGAAGCAATCACACTTACCAACCTCAAGAAAAATAATAAAACATGACATCAAGCACACATGCAAACACCAGTATAATGTTTGAAAAGGAGAGAGAGTCTGATGCAGTTTATATGTCCCATGACACAGTCGCTTAATTATTGCCTTGTATTCTTAGCAGTAAATAAATCTGCGGATAACTTTCCGTTCTCGTGAATAGTTGTTTCTCCAGTTTGCTTTTTCTTTGGGCACTTCTTAATGTGATGATGAGGATACAAGAGAGAGAGACAGATCCAGTCCTTGCTGTTTCCAATCCATGTATCTTTTTCTCTTCTGCTGGTCAAAAGAAGCTTCTGAAATACTGTTACTTTGTTTATTTCCACATCTGGCAACTTTGGTTTCTTATAAACTGGATAAGCCACAGGCAACCTTTCATGTCCAAAATATACTCCTTGTCAGGCACATGAAAATTGAAATAGGAGATGCCAGTTTTGTTGACTGGCTTTTCATAGAATCCCTACAGTATGGAAACAGGCCCTTCAGCCCAACAAGTCCACACTGACCGTCATACCCAGACCCATCCCCCTATAATCCATTTAATCTACACATCCCTGAACACTGCAGGCAATTTAGTATGGCCAATCCACCGAGCCTGCACATCTTTGGACTGTGGGAGGAAACCCACACAGACAGAGGGAGAATGTGCAAACTCTACTCAGACAGTTGCCTGAGGGTGGAATCAAACCTGGGTCCCTGGTGCTATGAGGCAGCAGTGCTAACCACTGAGCCACTACGCCACCTTTTACCCTTTATACCTTTAGATAAAGTGGTAAGTTCAGTTCAAACAGCTTGTTTAGCTCTACATTGGGGTCCTAAATTTGCTTCAACCAGATATCCTTTTAAAACTGTTTTAGTCCTTGAAAGGTTTCCAGTATTAAGTCAGATGAACTTAAAATTAACAGTCCATATGCTCTCATGCAGCACCTATTAAATCATTAAGATTTTGACTAAGTTGCCAGTTTATTTGCTGCAAATGTGGAAAAGAACTGAAGAAGTTCTTGCAGAAAGTTGACATCACAGTATACTGAATACTGTAGACCTGAATAGTTAAGTCATTGCTATGCCTGAGAATTGTCTTGATTGCCCCAGGGATTCTGAGAATTTGTGATCATTTTTTCTGAATTGAACTTGGGAATGTTTTTGTCTTTTTTTTCTTCCCCCAAGAGATTGCATGGCTGCTATGGAGTGGAAAGACTTGGCAGCATGTTGTCCAGTTGCAATGTGCCTGAATGGGACAATTATTGCAATTGCTGTTTTGTTTCTCTCTTTTTCATATCACATAACATCCTGACTTGGAACTATATATCATCTCTTCAATATTCCTAGGATGAAAGCCTGAAACTCCCTTCCTAACAACACTATATGTGTACTACACCCCATAGACTATAGTGGTTCAAGAAGATGGCTTACCATTACCTTTTCAAGGACAATTAGTAATGGTAATAAATGCTGGCCTAGCCAGCAACACTTCTGTTAAATACTTGTGTTAAATTCTTCTGAGGCTTTTGAACCTTCAGCACCCGCAGAGATCAAATACAGAAAAGTTACAACTTCTAGATTATTGGTGACAAGTTCTGTTCTAACTGCAGTTGAAATAATAGAAAATCATCTATCGATAAGTTTAGAGTTATAATGATGAGACTCTATTTTAAAAAACAACTTGGGTATGTGTTTATGCATTCAAAATACTCATCTTATATCCATTTTATATCATTTGTACCTGCCATTCAGTGCTGCCTATCTTAGCGCATTAAACTCCTTGCTATCAAATACAAAATACAACATGCAGACCAATTGAGGGAGCTCCAATGACCTCCCTTCATTTTGATCAGCCCTGTTGATGATCCATGTCAGAAGATGTGATGATGTTCAAAGAATTGTTTTAAGCTGTAATGAAAAAAATGCTGTCTTGTTTATATAAAGAGACTACAGGAGGAAGAGCGTCAGCGCAATGCAGAATGGGAAAGGCTGTGGAGCAATGATGCTCGGGCAGCTGTGCTTCTTGAACGACAGCAGCAGCGAATAAACCGACAACTTCGAAAAGAAATGGACTGTCAGAACATGGTGCTGTGCAGTGATCATAAAGCACGGTAAGAACTTTAAACCTGCTCTGACATTTTTGATGTTTAATTTATCTTTGACATTTATAGTGAAATGAATAGGGCAACAATCCAATTAACTACCTAAACCAGCGGCTGGCAATCGTCTAATAATATTGCCTCTGGACTAGTAATCCGCAGTCCTAGGTCGTGTTCAGGGTGCCCGGGGTTGAATTTCAATATGGCAGAATTAAAAGTCTAATAATGTCCATTAAATGGAAACCCAAACCAAAACAGAAATTGCTAGAACAACTCAGTAGGTCTGGCAGCATCTGTGCAGAAAAATCAGAGATAATGTTTCGAGTCCAGTGACCCTTCTTCAGAACAGTTCAAAGAAGGGTCACTGGATTCTAAACGTTAACTCTGCTTTTTATCCACAGATGCTGCCAGATCTGCTGAGATTCAAGAACAATTTCTGTTTTTGTTTCAAATTTCCAGCATCCACAGTTCTTTGTTTTATCCTAAAACCCACCTGGTTCCCTAATCTCAATTCGGGAAGGAAACTGCCATCCTTACCTGGTCCAGTATGCATGTAACTCCAGACCAATAGCAATGTAGTTGACTTTAAACTGCCCTCTGGAATGACCTAGCAAGTCATTCAGTTATATCAATCACTAAAAAGCCTCAAAAGAAAGAACAAAACTGGATGGAGCACTTAACATTGACAAATGCAATGGAAAGGACTGCAGCAAACGCAGTTGTGTACACCCTGCAAAGTCCTCCTTATAAACATATGGGTGTGGGTGTCAAAATATCCAATGTCTCAAACAACAGTCTTCATAGTCATACGCCTGAAATCCTACCTTATAGAAAATGTCCCAGATAATAGCATTACCATGCCTGTGTCTGTTCTGAGCCACTGTCAATACTGATCCAAGCAGAGGTAGCAGAATAGTGTTACACAGTCAAGAGTGAATTAACTAGGAGTCCTCAACATTGACTTCAAACTACATGAAGTCTCATGGCACCAAGTCAATCAATCAAATGTTTATTACCACACACTGCCCCTCCTTCATGTTGAACACTACTTGAATGGGCACTGAGGGTAGCATGGCTATAGAACGTTCTCTGGATGGGTGACTTCAATGTCCACAACTAAGAGTGACTCAGCAGCACCACTACTGACTGAGCTAGCCAAGGTCTAAACAGCATAGATGCTGGACTGATTCTGTGGGAAGGGTGAGGGAACCAACAAAAGGAAAAATACACAAGACCTTATCTCACCTGTCTGGCTGCCACAGATGCACCTGTCCAAGACAGTATTGGGAGAAGTGATCACTGCACATTTCTTGTGGAGACAAAGTCCCATCTTCACATTGAAAATACCCACTACTGTGTTGTGTGATACTATTGCAGTGCTAAATGGGATAGGCTTCAAACAGATCTGCAACTTGAGAATGGGTATCTATGAAGCGCTGTGACCCATCAGCAGCAGTAAAATTCTATTCCAACACAATCTACAACCTCGTAGTCCAACATATTGTCAGTCTTCCATTAACATCAAGCCAGGGGGGCATGCCAGGAATAGCACCAGGGATACCAAAAAATATGGTGTCAATCAACCTGATGAAGCTACAAAACTGCAGTACTTGTGTGCCAAACAGCACATACAGTAGGTGATAGTATTAAATGATTCCACAACCATTGGATCAGATCTAAGCAGTGAGCAGTACTGCCACATCTAGTCACGAATGGTAGTGAACAATTAAACAATTCAATAGAGGATGAGGCATTACAAATATCCCCATTCTCAACAATGGGGGAGCCCAGGACATCAGTGCAATAGATAAGGCTGAGGCATTTGAAACAATCTTCTGCCAGAAGTGCCAAGTGGATGATCCATCTTGAACCCTTCCACAGGTACTGAGCATCGCAGGTGCCAGTCTTCAGCCAATTTGATTTATTCCACATGATGTCAAAAAATGGCTGGAGGCAATGGATACTGCAAAGGCTATAGGCTCTGATAACACTAGGGTTACTATTGACCAGACTTTGAACTGGGCTAGCCTACAATACTGTGCCTACAAGAGCCAGGCAGAGGCTAGAAATCCTGCAGCACGCAACCCCCAACATCCCAAAGCCTGTCCACCATTTTCAAGGCTCAAGTTAGAAGTGTGAAGGAATATTCCCTATTTGCCTAGATGAGTGCAGCTCCAGAACACTTGAAGCATCCGTGAAAAAACAACTCCCTTGATTGGTGCCATATCTGCAAACATTCACTCTCTCCACACTGGTGTTCAGAAGCAAATTTAGAATTTAGAAGTTTTAGAATCCCTACAGTGTGGAAACAGGCCCTTCGGCCCAACAAGTTCACACCAAACCTCAGAGCATCCCACCTAGACCCATCCCCTTGTAACCCACCTAATCTACACATCCCTGAACACTACGGGCAATTTAGCATGGCCAATCCACCTAACCTGCACATCTTTGGATGGTAGGAGGAAACCAGAGCACCCAGAGGAAACCCACGCAGACGGGGAGAATGTGCAAACTCCACACAGACAGTCACCTGAGGCTGGAATCAAACCCGGGTCTCTGGCGCTGTGAGGCAGCAGTGCTAACCACTGAGCCACCGTGCTGCCCCTAATGTGCAGACCATCTATAAGATGAACTGCTGAAATCCATCAAGGCTCCTTAGACAGCACCACTACCATCTAGAAGGTCAAGAGGAGTAAATGTGTGGGAGGCCCACTACCTTCAGGTTCCCCTCCAAGCCAGTCACCATTCTGATGCTATTCTTTCACTGTAAAAGGGAACTCCCTCCCTAATGACATTATGGGTCCATCTAAACCAACGGGACTGCATCATTTGAAGAAGGCAGTTCGCTACCACCTCTTCAAGAGCAACTGTGACAGGGATAAATGCTGACCCAGTCACCAATGCCCACATCCCATGAATAGGTAAAAAATAACAAATACCTTACTTAATTCTGCTATTGACATAGGTTCCCCTGAAGAAGTTTGATATGGTGTATACCTGGGTGTATTAGCATACTTCCTTTTGTGAATAGATTTCCAACCTACTGGAGAAGTTTCTTGGAAAGAATAGGGAAAAATGGAAGTTAAATGACTTTATAAACTACTATATAAGTGAGTAATCAAAGTTGAAAGTGACACTGAAAAGCCATTGACCCTCCTAAAATTTGATAATTGGTTGGTTCCACCATATCTGAAGAAGAGTCAAACTGGACTCAAAACATTAATTCTGTTTCTCTCTCCAGATTTGATGGGTTTCTCCAGCATTTTCTGTGTTTGTTTCAGATTTCCAGCACCTGCAGAATTTGCTTTTGTATAAATGAAAATGCAAATTTAACACTCTATAACCATCTCTGTTGCCAACCAAGCACACCCAGTCTTCACCTCAAACTATTAACCTTTTGAGCAAGAAGAGTGGTATGTATAGTAGACAAATATTTCATAATGATAAAAAGAAATGATTAATGCATTTTTTTGCAGGGAGAAATTTCTGAAAAATGAGGTCTACGTGAATGTTCCAACTGGAAAATATTTTGATCAGTTTAACACATCCAGCCGTTGATATGGAATACATGATTATCTTCTACCTCATTCCAATAGGCTTCAAGAAAATATTTTATTTTTTGTTCTTATTGTGAATGCCTTCCGTTGAAAGAAGCACCATAAGGAAACTCACTTGATTTTCTATAATAATGTTTCAAATATTAAATTTGCTATCATTTTGAATTTGAAATTATCTTGCAATCAATCAGTAATTTGTCATTTTAAACAGAGACAACAAAACGTTTTTGAAAAGAAATGGCAATATTTTTCTTTTGCCTTTGTAACCATATAAAAATATTTGAAAGTAAACTCCTAACATATGACATAAAATCCATCTATCCATTTACTTTTTCGGAAATTAAACTTTCCATGATGTAAGTGTCAGCTTACCTCTTAAAACAATGCTGAGTTGGTCTGCAAGTTGGCAGTTATTTTGCACAATCGTGCTAAACAGCTGCTGTTAACTAACTGCCTCACGATGAGATCTGCAGTCATCAGGTTAGGGTCAAAATGATTTAACTAGTTTCGGACATAGCTGATGTATATTGAAATATGAAACTATATCATGAGTACAGCGGAAAATACCATATGATCTTTTATATGTCTTACCACAGTATTACTGTAATTTAAAAAGTGAATTTCTTCTTAAAATGTGACCAGTCTTTCAGAATAACAATAAACCAAGGATTCTTGGAATAAATGTAAGTGTATTAAGACCCTTGTCATGTTGCCAGTCTGCATGTTTTCCATTGAGAGCTTGGCATATAGTGAAATTTTTCTGTAGTGGTGCGCTGTGGAAAATGTTAGGAGTTTTTAAAAAAGCCCCTAAAAGACCCACAGCTCAGGAATGTGGTAAGTATAAGCAACGTACCTGTGTTTCTGACTAATAAAATGGTCATCTGTAGAATACTCAATGGTTTATTATTATCTCAACAATTTTCTTCAATTGCATTTTTAAGATTGTACACTTTGATAACCATTCCTGTATATTCCATTGCATGGCAATGCAATGTTTATCTAACAAACTGCAAAAAAACCACTAATTCTTGTCAAAGTGGACAAATGTTTTCTGATACAGCCTTCATTTTTCTCGCTAGTACTTGTTCAAAACCTAAAGGAAGGATATTGTGAAACTTGAAATGGTTCAGAAAAGATTTACAAGGATGTTGCCAGGATTAGTGGGTTTGAGCTATAGGGAGAGGCAATAGGCTAGGGCTATTTTCCCTGGAGTATTGGAGGCTGAGGGGTGACCTTATAGAAATTTAATAAAATCATGACAGACATGTATAGGGTGAATAGCCAAGGTCTTTTCTCAAGAGTGGTGGAATCCAAAACAAAAGGCATAGGTTTAAGGTGAGAAGAAGGGGAAAAGTTTAAAAGGGACCTAAGGGGCAACTTTTCCACACAGAGGGTGGTGCATATATGGAATGAGCTGGCAGAGGAAGTGGTAGAGGCTGGTACAATTACAACATTTAAAAGGCATCTGGATGGGTATATGATTAGGAAGGGTTTAGAGGGATATGGGCCAAATGCTGGCAAATGGGACTAGATTTACTTAGGATATCTGGTCAGCATGGATGAGCTGGACCGAAGGGTCTGCTTCCATGCTGTACATCTCTATAACTCTATAATGCAAACCCCTTTTGTATATAACAAAGACTTACCCTCTTCCTCTATGTTTGCATCCCTGAGATTTATGTTTTTAAAGGGTTAGATTTTCAGAGGAGTGGATATCTCCACCCTTTTGTTTACAAAAAAGGACATTCTGCATTTCTGAGAGGATATTCCGATTAGGACTTCTCATAAATGTGGAGCCATACTTCCATTCTGATAGTTCTCTTGTAGATCAGAAATGTTGGAGAAAGGCAAACCACATCATTTCACAACAGTCAACTACCATATTCTGATATTTAAAGTTCTACACAGCCACTTTTATAGTTCTGTCAAATGGCAAGTACGTAAGAGTGATGTTCAGGTGCTGGGAGGATGGTGTGGGGGTAGTTTGAGTCCAGCAGCAAGGGAAGGGGGACTGGGTGCAGAATTGGAAAACATAGAGCATGTCCAGTTGTTGGGGGAGGAAGGTCAGCTGCGGATGGAGTTGGGTTGGGTCTGGCAGCAGGAAAGTGTGTGGTGATCGGGTGTGGAACATGTGAAGGGAGACCAAGCCCACCGGTCGTGAGTTAGAGAGGTTGGGTGCGGTGCAGGGGAAGAGAGTCTGGCAGTAGAGACAAGCGGTGGGGGGGAGCAGTCAGGTTCAGGCTGAGGGAGGGGCAGTCAGATCCACTGGTAGGAGGTTGGGCAAGATACAGAATATGGTAAAGGAATGTCAAACAAGGTCTGATAGGTCTGGTGTGGTCTGTGAGTGTGGGTTTATGAGGCAAGTATGGAGCCATGGGATAGTTACTTAGGAGTTAGACCATGTATTTAATATTTTAACTTTTCCTAAGTAACTATTTTACTTCATTTCATTGGAACCCTCTGAATTCTCTGATTTAAATGGAGATCGTTGGAGGTTTCCAGGCACAGAGGAATTGCCCAGTGGATTCTCCAATTTCCCAGACAAATCCTTTGAAGCTTGCTATGATGGTGATTTCTCAGGATTCCTATGTGCCACTCTATCTATGTTGGAATAATGACTATCCGACCATCGGAAAATCTGGGCCAAAGTAACTACCAGTGGTGATTTTGTCCATCTGGTGTTGCAAAGACACTTAATATTTAATATGCCCTGAAGGACTTGAGTTTTGAAGGATTATAAAAAATGAATTTATTCCAAATTCTGTAGAATGACCTGGAATAGTTTCTTTAAAGACAAGGTCATCAGAAGTCACTGTGTTTAGAGTTTTTTTTAAACAAGATTTCTTGGAAATTATATGATTGGTAATAACTGGTTATTCTGTCATTGAGCCTTCTGGGAATGTTTGATTAATGTTTCAATGGACAGTGCTCTGCTATGGAGTTTTCAACTGGGGGACAGAAAGAGGAAGGGCTGCCCAGTTGATCTCTCCCATTTTTCAAAATGAAACCTTCTTGAACGCAGGGTCAATTAAGTCAATAAAGTATTAGATCTTTATGTGAACAGGAAGAATTTGCAGTGCTATGGGGAAAAGATAGGAGAGTGGCTCCAGATTAATTGTGCCTTAGAGGGCCAACATGGTAGGCTGAATGGCCTCCTTGTGCACGCAACCATTCTATGATTCAATGGGAGGGTTTTTTCGATACCTGAGTAGGTGAGAAAAATGGTGGGCGAGTGAAATTAAACTTATCTCCAATAGCATCTCATTAAAAATTGGACTCACTAGAATTAAGGGAGTCTTTAAGGTTTTAGAGTAGATCTGTAGCTCAGGTTGTGGGTGTTGAGGTTGGTTGGCTCGCCGAGCTGGTTTGTTGTTTTGCAGACGTTTCGTTACCGTGCTTGGTAACATCCTCAGTGCAGCTGTTTTCCCACCTGGTTTTTAAACTCTGGGGTCCGTTGAGATGGATTGCCTCACTTCCAGTTTTCCTTCGTAGTGGAATGTATATGGGGTCGAGTTCAATGTGTTTATTAATAGCATGCTTCGTGGAGTGCCATGCTTCCAGGAATTCTTGTGCTTGTCTCTGCCTAGCCTGTCCCAGGATCTTGGTTTTGTCCCAGTCGAAGTCATGGTTCTCCTTGTCCATGTGGATCGAAGTCATGGTTCTCCTTGTCCATGTGGATCGAAGTCATGGTTCTCCTTGTCCATGTGGATGTACTCAGCTGCACTGAGGATGTTACCAAACGTGGTAACGAAATGTCTGCAAAACAACAAACCAGCTCGGTGAGCCAACCAACCTTAAGAGAGTCTTCCCAATGAACTCTGGCCAGTCAAGAAAGTCGTCACTCCAGATACATGATCATATATACCTTCACTCTTCCTGGCAAATATTTGCTGCTTTGACTTCTAGTGACGTGGATTTAAATGATTGTTGTATCAAGTTAAAGTGGGGAACACAGTGGCTCAGTGGTTAGCACTGCTGCCTCACAGCGCCAAGGACCTGAGTTCTTTTCCATCATCGGGCGACTGTCTGTGTGGAATTTGCACATTCTCCCCATGTCTGCATGGGTTTCCTCCAGATGCTCTGGTTTTCTCCTACAGTCCAAAGATGTGCAGGTTAGGTGGATTGGCCATGCTAAATTGCCCCATAGTGTCTAAGGATGTGCAGGCTAGGTTAGCCAAGGTAAATGCAGAGATGGGGGAGGGAGTTTCATTTTGGGTGGGAAGCTCTTCTGAGGGTCAGTGTGAACTTGATGGGCCAAATAGTCCATACTGTAAGGATTCTATTCTATTGTGGTGTAAGCTTTCCAGGTTTTGGGAAGAGAAGCAAGGCAGGTTGTGTCTGTGGGCTGGTACAAAATGGGAAGACAACAAACAGTAAGTCCTGGTGAAACTCAGTAGGTCTGGCAATATCTATGGAAAAAAAAACAAAGTTAACACTTCAAATCCAGTATTTCTCTTCAGAATTCCCAGTGGCTAATGGAAGGAGGCAGACTGCAGTTTAAGAGCTGACAAAATCAAGTGACTAAGACAGCGTAGCTATCAGGGGATGAAGGCCATGGTGAAATGCAAACAGATGTAATGCAAATACCATGTGGCTATCAGCTACTTTAAAGTGATGACAGCAAAGGGAAGGGAGGGTTAATAAGGGAAGGATGGGGCACTGTCTATCCAGGGGATGAGTAGTGACTTTCATAGACATATGGATACATAATATGGAGATTTCCCTGGTAAACATGCTGACTAGGAAGAGGTCAATTGGATAGCTGGATGAAGAGCATATTAGGGCACCATGAAGCAAGCTTGTATTTCAGCAGTGAAATGGAAAGATTGGCTGTATGCATCAAATCACTGTCTTCACAGATCTCCTGAAATCAACAGCATAATGGCATGGATCAACCGTGCCTCTGGACCTGTTCATTTTCCAGCTAAGATGTACCAGCACTGCAGGATCATGCTGTAGTTTCAGCAGTTGCCATTGGCTGCAGTCCAACATACAAAGACACAATATTCATGGCAACAAAGATTTCCATGAACCTCAATGCAACAATCTGCCACTTACAGAGAGACGGTGATAAAGGTATCTTATAGGATGTAGAGGCCTATATCTGCCAGCTTCCAGATAGTACCACTTTCCACAAGAACTGCATTTGCCTTTATTGGGATAGCAAATCTCAACTTTTAGGCAAATGGGACACCTGCAGAATTTCACTATTACTTGCATAAATTATGTGTGCAGGCTCTGCAATGTCAGGATCCCAGCTCCAGTGTCCTCACACTGACCTCATCATCTCTGGAGTCAATCTTGGGAGCCTTTACTGCAATCCCCAAATATTAGGCTATGCATCTCTTGTTCATGATGCACATTACTGATTTTACAATAAAAGATGTTCCAATGGAAGACAAGCACCTTTGGGGATCAGACGCTTCACTGCTTTCAATGCAGACAACCGTGTCAGTAAGGTTTTGGAGTAGATCTGTAGCTCGGGTTGTGGGTGTTGAGGTTGGTTGGCTGGCTGAGCTGGTTTCCTACACAAAGGCAGGTGCACCCTCCTCTGACCCACCTGCTGGAAGCACTGAAGTTATGGCACAGTGGAATTAGAGAGGCAGAGCACCCTACTGGAGTGTAATGAGATGAAGTTCCCGGGTTGCCTGGCTGGTGCTCCTCATTCCTACAGGTGCCTTCTTGCACTTCTTTGTCC